CTGGCTTTGGCTCAAGTCATGATCTCGAGCCCACATTGGATTCTGTGCAGACAGCTCGGAGCCTGCAGCCTGCTTCCAATTCTGTGTCTCCCTTTCTTTATGCCCCTTCCCCATTCACGTTCTGTCTCTGTCTCTCTCCCTCTCTCCCAAAAATAAGCTTTTTTTTTTTTTTTTTTTTTTTTTAAAGAAAAGAAATGGAAAGATTCAACAGGCTGAAGAGACCTGGGAGTCGTCCAGCTACTGAAAAATATTCTAAGTGAGACCTAAGAGCAGACATGGACTCTTCAAATTACAGTCAAATGTGTCTGTTTTCTCTAAGAAGTGATAGGAAGCTCAGAGAAACGTCAATAGAGTTAGATAAATGGGCCTGAGGTGTAGTAAGCCGTCAGGACAATGTCCAAATCACACTGCAGAATTGGCCTTCAAACTATACAGAAAGTTGGTGTTACCCCAAAATCCCTACCAATGGCATTGTTCAGAGATGACAATGGGCAAGCTGTCCACGCTGCTGTCAGTCATAAATGAGGGGAAACTGCTATCTTATGGTAGAATTTACTAACATTGACAAAATATTTTTGTTTCTTATTAGGACTTTACATTGTTTAAATTTATACTAGAAATTCACTTGGGAGATTAAGAGATTAATGAATACTCTCCCACTAAAAGTTAAGGTAAATGTATTTTAAACTTAGCAGGATTTGCCATTGACAATTTGGCTTTTCATCTTTTTTGATGTAATAAGAAAAATTTCAAATATAGTGAAGAGAATGGTGTAGTGAATACCATAAAACACATTATCTAGACTGAATTATTAATAATTAGCCATATTTGCTTCACATTTTTTATTGTAAAATATTTTCTTGTATTATAAAATCTTATAAATTACAAACATAACAACACTGCACACCTAAATATCTCAGTATGCACTTCCAAAAATACTAGCATAATTTTCCACAGAACTGCAATACTGATGAAGTTTTGGGGTGATGGTGGGGTGGTCCGGAGCCAATGGCCAAAAAAAGAATTCTTGATAACATCTTTGGTTCAAAAAGGCGATTTTGTTAAGGCACAAGAGCAGGACCTGTGTGCAGGAAAAGCTGCACCGGGGTTGTGGCAGGGTAACTGATTATATACCTTCAGGGCGGGGGCAGAGCGGGGGAGTTAGGGATAGAGTAAGTCTTAACATATTTTGAAAGCAGGTTTCCAGGACTTTGAGGGGCTAGCTGTTGCTAGGAAAACACCATGTATTACCTTTTAGTAAAACCTCAATCATGAGACCCTTCAGATGTATATCAAGGGCCATAAGCTTGGTGTATGATTGCAATATGTATCTTGGAAGAGTTGGGCTAAAGGAAGTTTCCAAAGGAATTTTTATATGTTAAAGTAGACTTACAGGATCCTCAAGGTTGGGATAATGTTAAGCTAAGATTCTCCTTTGCCCCTAGCAAAGTGCCATCATCAAGACAGCCAAGCTTCAAGGACTTGTCAGTGGGCTATAGGCAGTAAGAGCATTTAATTTTTCATTTGCCTTTGTTCCCCATATCACCATGGCAAGCACTTAAACCCCTTTCCTCTGTTCTTGGGTAGCCAGGAGCGTCTGAGGAATACCCCACCTGGGCGGAGGGGGGGGTGCTGTTAGCCTGTACTTTGCCCTCAGCTTGCCCCACTCTCTCATCACCAGTATTGAACCTAATAAAATTAGTAACTCTCACATATCATCAATGTTCAGTTAGGAGGGATTTTCTAAAAACCAATTAACATCACCATGCATACTGAAGACATAACCAGGAGAAATGATATTTGTAAATCTAAGAATCTAGTACAATTTCCCTTTGAGAAACAACAAAATAAATAGCTCCCTTGTACACTGAAGAGGAATAGAGGGGTTGGTGGGGGGGGGGGGGGTTTTTTTTTTGTTTTTTTGCATAAAATCACCAGGGAATGAGAAATGTAAATCTAAAATTATGCATAAAGACCTTCCCTGTAGCTGCGTGGAGAAATATGTCCAAACGTTCCAATATGACTGTTTCGATAGAAATGTGTAAGAATTACCAAAACTGAGACATTACATTTCTGCTTTCTCATCAATGCAGACCACTATGTGAAGTATCCAGACAATCACTTTGGAAAGAATAAGAGAGATTGCCACCCCCCACCCCTCCCTGCCCCAAAGGCTGTGACCTTTCTGGTTTTTGAGGAAAGCTCTGGCCAACACAACTCTCTCCTCTGTTCTCATAGCTATGATACTTGGGGTCTTTGTGAGGCACTGAGAAACCCCCACAGTGAAGTTCATCAACAAACCCTCAGCTACATCCTGCTCACCTCCTTCACCCTGGGCTTCCTCTGCTCCTTACTCTTCATTGGTCCCCAACACAGCCACCTGCATCCTGTGGCAATCCACATTTAGGGTGTGCTTACTATAGGTCTTTCCATGGTTTTGGCCAAAACCATCACTGTGGTCTTGGCTTTCAGGTTCACCACACCTGGGAGAAAAGTGAGTGCTGATTAGTGTCATGGGGCATCTAATTCTGGCACTTCCATCTGCTACCTGATCCAAGTGAGTCTGTAATCTGGCTAGGAAGTTCTCCCAGCTTCACTGACACAGATACTCTGAGCCTAGATATGGAATCAATTGTAAAATTCTTCAAATCTTCCCTTACCAGGTGTGCAGTGATCTCATTTTACATTCCACTTCTTGAACCATGTTTCTATCACTAGGTTTTCACTTTCTCTGCTTTCCTCAATTACAAAAGTCTTTTCCACACTCCAATCTTTAACAGGTCTTTCTACGTTTCCCCTAGCATTTCTAAAGGTTAGTTTACAGCTTTTTGTCTTCTACTCCTCTGGAATTTATTATTGAGAATTGTAAGGAACTAGCATTTCTTTCCAAGGAAAACAACAGGGAGAAGGTCTGAGTGTGACCTGTTTCTGAAGCTCCCCATGTAGGGGGTCCACATTACCAGAAGTGAGGGGACAACTGAGCCCCGGACTGGAAGGGCAGGACTGGAGGGGGTTTCAGGCCAGTGGGCCCAGGTTTTAGTGAGTCCCACAGGGACACAGCAAGTGGGCAAAGTAGGCTGGGGGCTTCCTGGGAGTCCCAGGATACCTGGGGTATGTGCAGTTGCAAGTGTGCATTAAAGGGACCTCCAAAACCTCAGGGGTTGGGGTGTATCCTGTCCAGGCACCCAGTAGGTAGGTGATACACCTCCATCTTTTCAGGAGACAATGGGACTCAAATAAGGAGGAGGGTTCGCCTCTGCTGGAAAGAATATAGTCTTTGGAACAAGCCGTCGGGCACTAAGCATGTGCTGATAAAAGTTTGTAAAACAAATGATCATCATCCAGTGGTATTTGTATCAGACATGTGAGTGCAGCTGCAAAGGCCACTGGGGAAAGCCAACATGAGCTGCAAAGCCTCAAAGCTGGTATTGAGACCCCCACCCTACACACCAGGGCCTGCTGCATAGACCAGAACACTGACACCGAGAGCAGTGCAGGTTAAGCTCCAGTTGACCTCACCCAGAACTACCTACAACCACCCCACTTATAGATGGATGAACTGAGGCCAGGCTAAAGAGTGTGACTTAGCTGTGGTTGCCCAACATGCAAGCCATGGATGAAACACTACCAAGAACATAGCTGGGTATAAGCCGGAGGAGGAGCACCCTGAGTAGAAAAATGACCTAAGAGGGAAGCAGGATTGATGGCCCAGTCAGAGGCCACACAGTGCCCTCCCATCTCTGGCCTTCAGATGCTTCCTGTTTCCCAGTCCCCTTGCACTATATTTCCCCAGAGTCTAAGACCTGCTACAAGTAAGTGTACTTTTTGTGAACATCCTATCAGGATTGAAGCCATTAAGGCAGGATTGAGTTGGTTATCGCAGGAGCAGACAAGAAGCCAGCAAGGAGGGAACAAGAAAAGGGAGCCACATCAGAGAGAAAAGTCAGAAGCCTAAATGTGTGCAAGCCCTAAGTGGGGCCTCATCCACCAGCTTTCACACTGTTTTCTGGGTACAATAAAGTCACTAGGTCAGAGAAATAGGACCCAATACATATGATCACTGGCTACAATGAACACACAAGATGTAAGAGTGATGTATGGGACACTAACACCTGGAGGCTCACAGAGCAGTCAGGGGAAGAGCTGGGGCCAGGACTAGAATGTCTAGCAGTAAAGAGAGAAAGCACAAAAGGTTAGAAATTTAGTTTGAAGACAGAACTCATATACCAGCTGAAGTACAGAACACATGTATGGGAGAAGGAAAGCAAGAAAGGATGACATAGGTTTTTGGCCTAATCAACTAGGTGGGCAGTAGGGCCACTGACTCAAAAGCAAAAGACAAAGGGAGATGTAGGGGCCAATAAATGTTTTGGATATGTCAAGTTTGAAATGCCCACAAAACATCTAAGTAGAAATGCTGAATAGGCAGTTGGGCTCCTGGTATCTATCCAGCTTGGGATGCAAGCTTGGGAGACACCAGCAAAGACAGCATCACAGCCACTGAGGATTAAGTCACCCAATTTGACGCAGATGTACTGGGACTATCATTTGGAGTAGCCAAACGTTGCAGAGGTCATCTACTGAAGCTCAACCCAGGTCTTCAGCCAGGATCGTTAGGGCAAGAAGCTCTCTTGTCCTAAGAACAAATCTGCCCTTCTGGGAGCCACACTGGCTCCCTGAGGATGACACATGCTCAGAAATGAAAGCAATACAAAAGACCACACACTGTGGTGAGCCTGGACCCAGAAGTGCCAGGCACCTGCCTCATCTGTATTCACCTAACACAGATAATTAGCACACAAATTCACTAATCCGTTTGTACCGAAAATAGTTTTCTTACTACAATGTGATATTACAGCATAAAGCACTGCATCATTTGACAGGACGTTCTTTTATAGGTGAGCACCACTGAACAATTCTATAGCTTCCTCCATTGTCCTTATTACAAACAGCTGCTTAATGTCAGGCTAAAGATTAAGTAAAACATTCTTTCAACGACATGCTGAACACTCACTTCAGTTTATTGTAGAAGCTTTTCTGAATGGAGCTCCTTCTTCTGGCAGGAAGCACATTTCATTTGAAAACCTACAAATGGGTCTTGTGCTTATCTGAAATTTGCCCAATATGCTGATCTCACATCTGTCCAGCAGCCATGGCACCAGATCCACGGACCATGGACAAAACCACATCTGTCCAACAGCGCATTCCCAGAAAAGCTCTACACTCAACAGAAACCCCCATGCTCCCCAGGGAGGGGAACTGTTCCAGGATGGAGGACAGGCTAAAAGAAATTGAACCTGAACTCTTCATCAGGAGTGTCCAGGGTGGCCTTGGCTACCCCTGCTTGGCGAGTCCTGCAGACCCTTCCGCTCTTCCTTCTGGTGGCCTCAGCTACAGGCCGCACCTGGGCTGTGCGGGCTGCTGTGGGGGAGAGGACAGAGCATCAGAACAGAGTAAAAGCAACTAACATTACCTGTGCCTTAAGACAAATCAACTGATTCACTTCTCAAAGTCTTAGGGTAGGTATTATCATCACACTCCACTTAGAATCACTGAGACATTCACTAACTCTGCTACTCTGCGTCCCAGGCCCAAGCCTGACATCTGTGTTCCAGAGAGGACCCAGCTCTCTCTCCATGTTTTCCCAGGCCTCCCTGAGTCCATCTCCTCTCTCCACCCCTGCCAGCCCTGTTACTCTAGCTTTCTTCCAGTCACTCCCTAGGTTCTTCCTCCCTACCCCCTGAAATCAACCAGTTTCCAGCTCCTCACCAGTCCTGAGAACCCGAAGGGCCTCTCGCCGCTCGGCTTCCATCTGAGCCCTGTAGTCCCCAAACAAGGAGCGCATCAGCTGCCTCTTCCGGGGCAGGGGGGTTCTTTCGCTACGCAGGGCTCGGATTGCCCCAAGAGCCTGCTCTTCTGCGGATTAAAAATAAATAAATAAATAATAACTAGGAATCTCCTCTATTCTGACCGCCTATCATCCTACAGGAAAGACAACAATTCCATCCCCTGGCACCACCTGAAGGCCACAGCTTTATCATGGTTCACCTCTCCCCAATTCTACAGAAAGGCCCCTCACTCTGTTTCTGACTGGGTCTCTGCATCTTGAGGCCCAGCTCCAGTTGCTCCACGCACCACGCCAGTTCCCGGGCCAGCTGCTCTGCCTGTGATGAAACGGGAAGAGTGGCTGTGAGACCGCACCAGGACAGCGTGGGTTCCAGCCCCATCCCATCCCATCCCATCCCACCCCATCCCGGCCTTAACTCAGAAAAACCGAGACGACACACACCCGCTAGCACACTCACACCCGGGATGCAGCGCTGAATTCCACCCGCCCCGACAGAGGCCCGCCCTTGCCTGAGCCTCCGCGCTTAGGGGCGCTTCCTCAGAGCAGGGCTTTTCTGAGACCTTCCCGCCTCCACTCGCCACAGAGGCTCCGTTCCGGGTTTTCTTTTTCTTTTGCTTCTTAGAGGCTGCGTCGCCTTCACCACGTTCGGGGTGCGCCCGGGCGGCGGCGTCACTGCGTGTGGAGTGCCCTAAGCAGAGACGAACTGGATGGGACCTTACGGCGGAAGGACCCGGGGAGCCGGAAAACGACCCAGGCAGCCGGAAAACGACACAGGCAGCCGCGGGCTGCGGAGCGCGGGAAGTACCTGGGCCTGCGGCCACTGATGTCTCCCGAGCAGGATGTCCTAGGGCCTGGAGAAAGGGGGCAGCACAAGGGTCATGGGGGGCCGCCAACGGCCCAAGTCCCTGGGACCCCTGCGGTCTCACCGCGCAGCTCACCGCCATGCGCCGCAGTCGCCGCCGGAGACTACGTGGGGCCTGAGGTCCGAGGCCGAAATCCCCCCTGCAGAAACGCGTGTGCGGCGCAGAGTTCCGCTGGGCACCGACGGCGCTGTGGGCGGTGCCTTGGACGCACTGGGGGCGGGGGAGCGCGCGGCGCTTCGGCCGCAGGGAACCTCGGAAAGGTCGGAAGGGGAGCCTCTGGACGGCCCTCTCGTGGCACTTACTACGTTGAAGGCACCACTCTGGGTGAAAGGACAACGCCTGAAGCAAGGGAATGCTCTCAAAGCTCACTTAGTGCGGAGAGAAAAACCGTCGGGCAGAGAAGCGCCGTCAATAGCGGCCCGAAACAGGACGGCGAGCGGTCAGCAAAAACCTCCCAGGAGCAGCCTGTGCCTGGCCGGCGGGACTGGTCGAGTAGCCAAGAAGGAGGCCGGGGAGCTGGGGCCGTGGTGCTAGGCGGGCTCGGAGTTGTGCGAGATCTGGTCATAGACCCCGTAGGATAGCCCGCAGTCCACCTCTATTCTAAACGCAATGGGAAGCCATTGAGAGACCTTCATCCGAGGAGTGATGTGGTCTTACTCAGATGTGTATTTTAAAGATCACTCTGCTGTCTTGTGACGAAGGCCGGACGGGTTGGGGGCAGGTGAGCCTGGGGATGTGGAGGAGTTTCAGAAACTGAGGGGGGAAAGCCTGCGCACTTGCTGGTGGTCTGGATGTGAACACGGGAGTGGGGGGGGGGGGGGGGCGGTGCAGAGAGGGAGGCCCATCCAACCCCACAGTCTACCTTGCCCTTCTTCGCTTTCTGCCCAGGGCAGTCCTTCCACCTTATGGCACTAGAGACCCGGGTGCCTCCTCCCTGTCTGGGGTCACAGTCGTTAGCAGACCTCCACAACCAAGAGGAACTAGGAACTTCAGGAGAACAGGAGTCGTGAGTGTTGTCTCATGACTCCTGTAAGGGAAATCAGGGTAGAAAGCGTCGTTTCCTGACCCAGTGAATGGGAACCGCTGCCTGCCTGGACTGAGAGGTGTCAAAGGGTAGGAGTTTGGTCATCACAGATATTTATTGCAGCATAACAAGTTGTCACAAAATGTAGCAGATTGTAAACAGTAAACATTATCTCATAGAGTTTCTGAGGATCAGGAATGCAGCAACAGCATAGCTGTGTGGTTCTAACTCAGGATTTCTCATGACCACTCTTGAAAGGAGGAATTTCAAAAACTTTTAGACATATTTTTAAACTACCACAGTCAGGATGTATCTCAGCCCTGGGAGACTGGAGGTTTTGGCGGTGAGTGGGTTCCAGATCCAAAGGGACTTTTTGCTGCCTTGTTTGGCTGTGAATCAGCCTGTGTGATTTGGCCCAGAACTGCTTCTTCCAGAAAGCCTTCTCAGCCCAGACATCTGTAATTGAGCACAATCCTCACAGCAGACTGTCCTCTTCCACAGCCCTATATGCAATCAGCCACCCAGTCCTACCAGTTGATCTCCTAAATGGTCTCCCCCCCGCCCCCGCCCCGCCCCAGACCATTTCTGCCCTGAACAACCTCTATCCAGGCCTTGCTAATCTCTATACTTCCATTCCCTTTTTGTCTCTTCTGAAGCATCTTGTGGGAGTGAACTTTCTAAAACAAAAACTATATTACTCTCTTGCCTGGAAATCTTCCATTTCCTCCAGCATGAAGTCCAAGCTCCTTAGTTGACATGGACAGCTGTTTGCCTGACCTTCCAGCCAGCAAATGCCCTTCAAATCATACAAAGGCAACTTTTTCCAGACCTCACTCTGCTGTAGTCCCACTGAGCCCCCAGCCTTCTGAGCATCTCCTTACAGGCCCCTGCAACCCCTCTGTCCTGCACAGAGACTTCATTTTCCTTCCCTGGCATTACCAACACCTATTCAAACCCCCAAACCCAGAAGGCAGGTCTTTGAAGGACTTCAGAGAGGAAGGCCTAGAGGACCCAGCATTCCATGTCAATAAGTCTCCAAATCTCTCCACCACCTCCCACCTTGACACGGAAAGAGGATTCATAAAAGGAAGTTCAAGCTTTCAGCTACCTCTTCCTGACTTATCCACACCTCCACAACCACTCTAGCAACCGCTCCTAACATTTCACTCTCCATCACGATAGCTACTTCCTATCTCTTGAATAGATAAGTTCCACTGGTCTCCACCAAAACCATATTTCCTCTCTCTACTCCTCTAGCCTCTTTAGAAAATCTATTACAAATTTCATACCTGCAAATATCAATATTCATATGCAGTCAATTATCATCCAAGGTAGTCCTATAAAATATCTGAGAATGCTGAATTTGTGAATACTGAACCATTGCTCCTAGGGGAAATACAGTTGGGTTCCTGGGAACCTCCAGTCACAACATTTTCATCAATCGATTGATACATCACCTTGTATGTTTCTATTTAAAGTCACATTTAATATACATTAACACCTATATTTAGTATATGTTGTTGATTTATTAACATTGAAGTCATGGTCATGGTATAACTAGTACCTGAAGTATTTTCTCCATAAGGCACAGCACACCTTAGGAACACTAGACAACACTTCAGCACTATGCTTCAGGGCCATTTTAAACAGTAAAATCCCCACCAAAAAGCACAAGAATACAAAAAGTGTACCATTGAATATACTATGAAAAGGACATTGATTTACAGTATGAGAGCAGAGTGTCACCTGTTCAGCCTAAGCTGGGAACACATGATTTTCATTACTCTGTGCATGTCCATGAATACCGTGAAAGTGTGAGTGTTGGTTTTGAGGGTTACAAGTAGATTTTAGCAACCAGGTGAATTTGCAAATATGGAATCAGAGTAATGAAGACTAACTATATATAACCATATTTGAAGTTAAAAATCATAAAAATGCATCTACCTACCACCCAGTTGCAGAAACAGACATTACCAATCTTTCAGGACTCCTGTGTTCTTACGTAACATAAATACGTATCTCTAAACAACATTGTTTGCATGCTTTGAACTTTGCATACAGTAAATCACCCTATATGTGTTCTTGAGCTTGTTTTTCTCAATAAGTTTGTGAGGGTTACACATGTTGCTGTGTACAGACAGCTGTAATTCACTGTCTTCACTGATGATAATACTCCACCGAATAAGGAAACCCAACAATAAACATTTGAGCTTCTTACACTGTTTTGCTATTATAAACAATGCACTAGGAATATTCTTGTATGTATCCTGTGTTCAAGAATTTATTGGGGCACCTAGGTGGCTCAGTTGGTCAAGCATCCTACTTTAGCTCAGGTTGTGATCTCACGAGTTGTGGGTCCGAACCCCATATGGAGCTCTCTGCTGTCAGCACAGAGTCTGCTTTGGATCCTCTGTCCCCCTCTCTTTCTGTGCCTCCCTGCACATGCATGCTCTCTCTCCCTCTCTCTCTAAAATAAATTAATTTAGGGGCGCCTGGGTGGCTCAGTTGGTTAAGCATCCAACTTCAGCTCAGGTCATGATCTCGCGGTGCGTGAGTTCGAGCCCCGCGTCAGGCTCTGTGCTGACAGCTCAGAGCCTGGAGCCTGTTTTGGATTCTGTGTCTCCCTCTCTCTCTGACCCTCCCCCATTCATGCTGTCTCTCTCTGTCCCAAAAATAAACGTTGAAAAAAAAATTTTTTAATAAATAAATAAATAAACATTAAAAAAAATTTTAAATAAATAAATAAAATAAATTAATTTAAAAAATAATTTTAAAAAAAATGAATTTCTCTAAGATATATCCAGGAGTGGAAAAACTGAGTTGTAGGGTCTTTTCACTTCTGTTATAGTATACAATGATGAAAAGAAATTCTTATTTTTAACAGTGTTAAATGTATCAATCTTTTTATTTTCCCCTTTTGTGTCTTAAGAACCTCTTGTTAACCTGGGAACCTAGAGCTAACTTCCTCTTTTAAAAGTTTTATGGCTTTACCTTTCATATTCAAATTTTTAGTCTGGGGTGATTTTTGTGTCTTTTGTAAAGTAGAATTCAGTTTTATTTTTCAAATAGGGATAATCAACTTTTCTACCCTCATTTGTGAATTCAGATCTGCAGTGTCCATCTGTTGTAGTTCATGTCCACATATGTGTGGGTGTATTTGAGAGCTCTGCACTGTGTTCCATTAGACCTTTTGTATATCCCCACACTAATGCCACTATGCTTCACTGCCAATCTTTTTTTCTTTTAATGTTTCTTTTCGAGAGACAGACAGGCAGATCGTGAGTGGGGAAGGGGCCGAAAGAGACACAGACAGAATCTGAAGCAGGTTCCAGGCTCTGAGCTGTCAGCACAGAGCCCGACGTGGGGCTTGAACTCAGGGACCACAAAATCATGACTTGAGCCGAAGTCGGAGGCTTAACTGACTGAGCCACCCAGGAGTCCCTCACTACCAATCTTTATAGTGAGTCTGATCTAAATAAGGTAAACCCCACCTTTTCTTTTGCTTCAAAGGCACCTTGACTATTTGTTTTTCCATATAAATTTTTTAATTGGCTTGTCAGTTTCTACTAAAAACTCCTTTGGGATTTTGTTCAAATTAATTCTATAGAGGATTTTGTTGCAGACTGAATCTCTGTAGTAAACAGTCATGAATCTTACATGAGCCTTGTATACCTCTCATTTATTTAAATCTTCTATAATATTTTTCAATAAAGTTTTACAACTTCCTCCCTAAAGACCTTTCACATTTGGGGGTAATTAATCCTGCATATGTTATTGTTTAGTTGCTATTAGGATTCAAAGTGGGACACAAATTATATACATAATAAAAAAATTTTTGATTTTTGTTCCTGGTTCATGGCACAGAGCTCCTAAAACCCTTGGAATTTCCTAAGTGATAAAGATGATAGCATCTTTTGTTCTAATGAAATGATTCTTGTGGGCCCCTAGAAAGCTTCAAGATGGGGGCTGGTCAGGGGCACCTGGGTGGCTCAGTCAGTTAAGTGTCTGACCTTGGCTCAGATCATGATCTCACGGTTCCTGAGTTTGAGTCTCACACCAGGCTCTCTGGTGTCAGGACAGAGCCTGCTTTGGATCCTCTGTCTCCCTCTCTCTGTCCCTCCCCCCACTCACGTGCACGCTCTCTCTCTCTCTCTCTCTCTCTCTCTCTCAAAAAGAAATAAACATTAAAAAAAAGATGGGAGCTGGTCAGCAGAAAAATAATAATAAGCTTTTATTAGAGGCTTATACCTTTCAGCACCATCTCCCAACCTCCAGAGAGGAGAGAGGGGCTAGAGATTGAGCCAATCATCAATGACCACACTCATGCCTACATAATGAGACCTCAATGGAAACCCCTACAGGAGGGGATTTGAGGAGCTTCCAAGTTAGTGACCACATCCATGTGCTGGGAAGTGGTACACCCCAACTCCACAGAGACAGAGCTTCTGCATTTGAGATCCTTTCAGACTTCCCTTCCATACCTCCTCATCTGGCTATTGATTTGTATCTTTTATAATAAATTGTAATCATGAGTTAGCATTTTCCTGGGTTCTGTAAGTCCTTCTAGCAAATTGTTGAGCTTGGGGGTGGGGGTTGTGGGAACTCCTGACTTCATAACTCAGTCACACAGAAGTGTGAGTATCCCTGGCACTTGATATTTGTGACTGGTATCTTTAGTGTGGGAAGTCTTGTGGGCTGAGCCCTTAGCCTGTGTGGTCTGCTCTACATCTGGTAGTTAAGTGTCAAAATTTAGTTGAGTTATAGGACTCTAGCTGGTATTGGAGAGGATACCACATAGTTGGTGTCAGGAGGGGAAAAAAAAAACCTGAATCCTTAGTTGTTTTTTGTTTTTTTTTTTGTCTGTCTGGTCTATCGGTTATTGAAAAAGGCATATAACACCCTTCCACTATGATGGTATGTGTATTGTTCTTTATGATTCTCTAATTTTGAAGCATTTTGAAACTCTTATTCTGTGAATTTTAAATATTTGTATCTTCCTGATTAAATAAGCATTTCAGAATTATTTAATGACATTCTGTTATCTATAGTAATACCTTGGTCTTAAAGATTACTTCAACTTGGGGCATCTGGGTGGCTCAGTCAGTTAAGCATCTGACTCTTGGTTTCACCTCAGGTCATGATCTCCTGGTTCATGAGTTTGAGCCCCACATCAGGATCCATACAACAGTGCAGAGCCTGCCTGGGAGTCTCTCTTTCTCCCTGTCTCTCTGCCCTTCCCCTGTGTGCTCTCTCTCTCTCTCTCTCAAAATAAATAAATAAACTTAAAAAAATAAAAAGATTACCTTATCTCTAAGTTATACAGCTTCGATAGCTTTTCCATCTTTTTTTTTTTTTTTTTTTTTTTTTAAGTAGGCTCCACACCCAGTGTGGAGCCCAGTATGGGGCTCCAACCCACAACCCTGAAATCAGGGCCCGAGCTGAGATCAAAAGTTGAACGCTTAACCGATTGAGCTACCTAGGCATTCCACCATCTTCTTACTTTTAAACTTTGTGTCCTCACGGGGTGCCTGGGTGGCTCAGTCCGTTGAGTGTCCGGCTCCGGCTCAGGTCATGATCTCACAGTTTGTGGGTTTGAGCCCCGCATCGGGCTCTGTGCTCCTGGCTCAGAGCCTGGAGCCTGCTTCGAATTCTGTGTCTCCCTCTCTCCCTGCCCCTCTCTCCCTGCCCCTCCCCCGCTCATGCTGTCTCTCTCTCTCTCTCTCTCCTTCAAAAATAAATAAAAAAACATTAAACTTTGTGTCCTCAGGTTTTAAATAAGTCTCCATATAGCATGGGGAGAAGAAAAAAAAGGGGGGCTCCTGGGTGCATCTGTCAGTTGACCATCAACTCTGGATTTCAGGTCAGGTCATAATTCCAGGGTCATGGAATGGAGCCCCACTTCAGTCTCCACGCTGAGCATGGAGCCTGCTCAAGATTCTTTTTCCCTCTGCCCTCTCCCGACTCGCTCTCTCTCAAATAAAATAAATAAATAAATAAATGAAAATATTTTAATGGTTGCAAATATATCTAGTAGAACTAATCTGAGTCGGCTTTCAAGTAACACTATACTGCTTCATAGGTAGCATAGGTACTTATAACCAAGTATTCCCAATTCCTCCCTCCCATCCCTTATGACATTGCTGTCTTCCATTTTACTCATCCATGTGCTATAATAACCTAATATATCGTTGCTATTATTACTCTGAAAAACAGTAATCTTTCAGAATAATCGGGAATAAGAAAAATAAAAGATTTTGTTTCACTGTCACTTATTCCTTCTCTGATCCTTTTCCTTTCTTCATGAGTTTCCGCCCTGTGACAGTTCCCAACTCTCTAAAGAGCTTTTAACATTTCTCACAAGGCCAGTCGGCTTCTGGCAACCAAGTCAGGACCAGGACCCAGGAACTTGCCAGGAGCGCAGAGTCTTCTGTGAGCAGCCTCCGGAACCGGGAACCCGATTGGTGGTGAGATGGAGGGCGCGGCGGAAGTTCAAGGCGGGCACTTCCTGTCCGGCCGCTCTGGCGCTCAGGGCCTGGCGTCTGCGAGGGGCGCGTCCACCCGTGTCCGAGCCGAGGGAGTCTAGGCGAGGGCGGCCGGCGCGGAGGTGTCTGAGCGGCCGTGGGTAGCGCGCGGAGGTGGCGTGGAGTGTGGGGAGGCGGGCAGGGGAGCGGCGGAGGCCCCCGCGGAGACCCGCTCCGTGGCGTCCAGGCTCCCCGGGTCGCCGCGTGGATGAAGAAGGCCTTAACGAGGAGGCGAGGTTGGGACGTGGTCAGGGGATGAATCAAATTGTGCTTTTTCTCGAAAAGTGCTTTTCACGCAGCAGATTAGGTGAAAGGATAGAGTTGCTAAAGCTGTCAGGGAAGGGACCTCGGTTCCTGGGTCTGAAGGGGCCAAGCAGGAGATCACTTTCTGGAGCTAGAACAATCACGGCGTTCGTTCATTCATTTGTCGGGCGGTCAATAAACATTGCCTTAATGATAGTGATTAAGGTTTAGTTATATTTTTCTTGGTTATGGTTTGCCAACACTATACAAAGTACTTTATACGTTTTCCTCATTTAATTCTCAAAATAGTCGCTTAGGATAGCGGTAGTGTTCTCATTTTAAGGTCTGTGTAGAAACTCGTCACTTACCGGGGACCTTTGCATTAGTAGGTGGTGTATCCAAATTTGGAATTCAGCCGTCTTAGCTTCCAGAGCCCATGCTTCCAGCAGCAGTGTTACATGCCTTCCTGCCAGTCTGGAAGCAAAGGCAGAGTGCAGACCCACCAGCGATACACATTTCTACTTGAACTGAGGGGTTCGTTTGCATGGAGTGGGGAGCTGTGGAGGTGGGAGCTAGCTTTGTATCAGAGGCTGATTGGGAAGGTTTTGCTGAGAGTGATAACCCTCATGTCACCTGTCAGCCTGTAGTAAAACCAGAGGAGGGGTTCTAAATGTCATATGTATACTGACAGTTCCCAGTGTATACCCAGCCAGCTTCGGCCTTTCTCCTGAATTATGGACCCATATATGCAAAAGCTCTCATTCTCCACTTGTAAGTCTAATAGGCATCTTAAATACAACACATGCAAAACCAATTTTTAATTTTTACCCTTCAGATGTACTTCTACAGTCTTATCGTTTTGAGTGAATGGAGATGTCATCATCTCAATAGCTTGGGCCAGAATTCTTGATGTTTTATCCCAGATCTAATTCATCAGCAAATCCTATTAAGTATGCCTTTGAAATGCATCTAGAATCTGATCACTTATCAGCTGCTGCCACCACTCTGGTCACCTCTAGTGGATTATAGCCAGAGCCTTCCAACTGGTTTTCCTGTTTAGGCCCTGATAGCCCCCACCCCCCACCCCCAGTCTGTTCTCAAAGCAGCAGCTGGAAAGGCCACAAGACCTGTCAAGGTCATATCACTGTCCAGACCTTCTAGATGCTTCCCATCTCATTCAGATTTAAAGCCCAAATCCTATAGTCTAGGAGGCTCTCCACCCTCTTTTCTCGTGCCCTCCCCAGCTCCCCTTCAGCCCCTCTGGCCTCCTTGCCCTTACTTGAACACATCAAGTGAGCTTGCACCTCATAACCTTTGCACTTGTGCTTTCCCCTTCCTGGGATATATCTCCCCTAATAGCCACATACTGCCTGCCCTCACTACAGTGAGATCTCTCCTTTGATGTTGCTTTATCAAAGGTGCCTTCCCTGACTATCCTCTGTAAAATATCTCCTACCACCAAGTACTGCCCTCATGCTACTCATTCTTTCTATCCTTTATCTCCACCTGTCATAGGCACTTAAAATTTTGTCTGTCAGCCTCCCTACTTGTTGTGCACTGCATTAGAAAGAGCCTAGTCTGCTTGTCCTCAGGTGTTTGCCCACTTTCCAGGACCTCCTAAGTGGGCCTGAGATGCAGCCCATTGGCTCCTCCAGCCAGGTGCACTGCTGGGGCCATCACGTGGTGGCCTTAGGATGCTGTTGTACTAGGGGCTGCTGGGGAGGCCTCATGGTGGGCAAGGGGATATAGTCTCAGGGACTACTGGGTGCTTAGTCCATCTGCCCTTCCCAGGGCTTTCTGGCAGCCCCACACTCCATGTCTGCTGCCATAGACCTCTCGAGATCCAGGCACAGAAGTCTCAGTGTTGCTGTGAGAAAAGCAGGCTGGTCACACTCCATTACAGTCTTCCCTCTCCCTGCAGTTTTGCCCACCTCCTTGGGAAAAGCTCAGAGATCCAATGATAGCCGTCAAGCAGCTCCTTCCTGATGGGCCCCAGGTGAGTGGTATGCATGGAGACACCTCTGTGTGGCCTTAGCCCTTTCTTGGCTGGAGTCTCTCTATGGTTCTCTCTATGAGGGGCTGGTCCCAGAGGGTAGTTGGCTGCCTGTCTTCACTAGTGTCCTCGGTCCCTGAGCTCAGGTCCCTGAAATGTGCCCCACACTGTGTCTTCCCAGTCCCTGGACCAGACACAGTGGAGGGCAGGGGTTCGGCAGACAAAGACAAGTGGAAATGGTGCCTGCCTCAAAGAGGCCACTCTTGTGAGGATAAGTCTGGTACGTGCGTTCAGAGGGATTTTGCCCATCCTGAGCCTAATGGCTCCTCCACACCCCAGACCCACCCTGGGCCTGATCCTGGGGTTGCAACAAGATCTCGTCATTCCAGGTCTCAGTTTCCTTTGAGGACGTGGCTGTGCTCCTCTCCTGGGAGGAGTGGGGCTGTCTGGGCCCTGCTCAGAAAGGCCTCTACAGGGACGTGATGCTGGAAACCTACAGAAATCTGGTCTCGCTGGGTAAGGCTTCTCTCTGAAGTTGGGCTCTGGGTTCCTTGCTCATGAATGGGACTGGGGCTAGGCTTGGGGCTAAGAGGCTCCTCATCCCCTGGGTCCGAACGTAAGACATTTATGACCCTGGTCCCAGGCAGGCCTGGTCTGCATAGAGGAGAGGACAGGCAGTGCCATGGACACCCCGATTTCCTTGTAGGAAGTATAGAAGAGTATCATTCATTTAAGTTCATACAGGCAGTCAGGGACAGGTCTAGGATTTGAATCCATTTGGTTTCAGAGCCCTACCTTACACCAGAATGTGCTGCTTCCCTTTAGTCCTTGTAGACAGTCCTTGGTAGACACCAGGATTCTGTGAGTCTTCTAGTGTGATGTGTTCAGGCCCCAACTCTGTCCCTTATCCACAGCCCCCAGAAGAGCTGGGTTTAACTTTTCTTCAGCTGGGGCAGAGGCCTGAATCTGTCTCCTTCATTTGCAGACCAGGTGACAGGGGAGGTCATGACCAGCACACACGTGCTGCCCATGGGGCCATCCTGCCCTGGACTTGGATGACTTGTCAGCCTTGCTTCCTTTCTCTGGAACAGGACTTCAACGTTCCAAACCTGATGTCATCTCCAGGCTGGAGAAGGGGGAAGAACCATGGGCCCCACACTCCCTGAGAACTGAGGAGAGCTGGATCCGGAATCACAGGAGCGGAAGTAAGTCTCCAGGAATGCCCCCATGCTCTCCTGCCCCTGCTGGCAGGTGCTGCCACTTCTCCAGGCCCTTCTCTGTGAGCTCTGGGCCACATCTCTTGTCACTGCCAAGGCTTTGCTTTCCCTCTTCTCCATTTCTGCCTTTCTTCTCGTTTCTCTCTATACCCATAAATGAGTTCATGGTTCCCTTACCCTAGAAAATGACCAGAAAGATCCCAGAAAAGAGCTCAGGTATCTTCCTGGGGCGCTGACTCCCTGCCCTGGCTGCCCATTCCTTCTCAGGCCTTGCTGGTCAGCTCTGCCTTAGCTGCTTGGAAAGACCACCCAGAGATATGCCCTCCTGCCCAGAGTCATTCCTGCTAGCGCTCACTTAGACTTCCCAGGCTGATTCAGGGCCTTGGAGAAAAACACGAGTTAGGGTTTCTTCATGTATAGCAAAGAGTATGGGCATATAAATAGTGAACAGTAAGTGTAGCTGAATCCTCTGTGCTACCACAGCAGCTAACAATGCCTGGACATTTGTGCTCAGTACATGAACTTATGCAATCTTCCAAGGTCCTCACGGTTGGTGCTCAAGAAACTGAGGCACAAGAGATTCAGTTGCTGGCCTGAGATCACACAGCTGGCCAGGAACAGAGCTGGGTTGGATCTCTGGCATACTGGCTCCACACTCCATGCATTTTTCCCCCTTTTAGAAACAGCTTTATTAAGGTATATTAAGCATTAATATGCCATGCATGTTTAAGATGTGCAATATGCTAACATTTGTGCATTATGTATGTACGTGTGAAACTATTCACCACAGTCGAGATAGCAAGAATATCCTTTACCCCCAAAACTTTCTCCTGTTTCTTTCTAATCCCTCCTTCTCACTTCTTCCCATCTCTATCGCGAAGTGATTACTGATCTGCTTTCTGTCTATATAAATTACATTTCCTAGAGCTTTATATAATTGGAATCATAGAGCATGTATTCTTTTTTTTTGTCTGTCATCTTTTGACTCAACATAGTTCTTTTGATATTCTTCCATGTTATGTATCAATAACTTATTTATTAATTTTTTTATTTTTCATTTTGTTTATTTTTTAGATTAGTATTTTATTGTATGGATATGCCACAATTTGTTTATCAATTCTGTTAACAGACATTTGGGTTGTTTCCAGTGTGGGGTTAATAACAGATAAAGCTGCTAAGAACATTTGTATGCAGACCCCTGTATGACCATTCATTTCCTTTGCTCTTGGGTACATACCTAGGAATAGAATGGCTGGATTACATGGTAGGTATATATTTAACTTTTTAGGAACCTGCCAGACTCTTTTCCAAACTGGTTGCACCATTTGATATTCCCACCAGCGATGGAGGAGGGTTCCATTTTCTCTACATCCTCATCAATACTTGGTGTCATCAATTTTTTTCATTTTAGCCACTCTGATGGATGTGTAGTGGTGTCTCATTGTGGTTTCAATTTTAATTTCTCTAGTAATTAAAGATGTTAGCTGTCTTTCCATGTACTTGTTTCCCTTCTGTGTATTTTCAGTGGTGAAGTGTCTGTTCATGTCTTTGCCTATTTTTTAACTGGATTTTTTGCTTTCTGATTGTTAAATTTTTTTTGTTTTTTTAATTTTTATTTTAAAAAAATGTTTTTAATGTTTATTTTTGAGACAGACAGAGACAGAGCGTGAGCAGGAGAGGAGCAGAGAGAGAGGGAGACACAGAATCCGAAGCAGGCTCCAGGCTTTGAGCTGTCAGCACAGAGCCCGACATGGGGCTCAAAATCATGAACCATGAGATTGTGACCTGAGCCAAAGTTGGACACTTAACTGACTTAACCACCCCAGTGCCCCACCAAGATTTAATTTGTTTAATGTGTTTAATTTGTTAATCCACTTGTTCCAGCACCATTTGTTGAAAAAAAAACATTTTTTCTCCACTTGTATTGTCTTTGTGCTTTTGTCACAAATCAGTTGTCCATATATGTGTGGGTTTATTTCTGGACCCTCTGCTCTCTTCTGTTTGTCTATCGTCAGTCTCTACTGCAGTATCATACTGTTTTGATTACTGAGGCTTTATGAAAAGTCTTGAAATCAGGGGTGCCTGGGTGGCTCAGTCAGCTAAGTGTCTGACTCTTGATTTTGGCTCAGGTCATAATCTCACGGATCATGAGTCCCAGCCTTGCATGGGCTCCATGCTGACAGTGTGGAGCCTGCTTGAGATTCTCTCTCTCTCCCTCTGTCTCTCCCTGTGTCTCTCCCTGTCCCTCTCCCTGCTCCTCCCCCACTCAAGTACGCTCAAAAATAAATAAGTAAACTTAAAAAAAAAAGTCTTGAAATCAGGTAGTATTAATTCTCCAACTTTGTTCTTCATTTTCAGAGTTGCTTTGGCTATTCTAGGTCTTCTGTATTTCCATATGATCTTTAAAATCAGCTTGTTGATTTCTGCTCCTGCTAGACAGCTAGCATTTTATTGTGATTGCTTTGAATCTATAGACCAGTTTGGGGAGAATTGACATATATTGTGTTTTCTGACCCATGAACAAGATGTACGTCTCCATTTATTTATGTTTCAGTTTCTCAGTAGTATTTTAGTTTTCCACGTTTAGGCATTTAACATCTTTTGTCAGATTTATTCCTAAGTATTTTTATTTTTATGCTGCTGTGCATGGTATTTCCAATTCTTCATTACTTATGTATAAAAATATAGTTGATTTTTGCAAATTGTTCTTGTACCCTGCAATTTTGCACAGTCCATTTATCGAGTTTCCTGTATACGTGGGTGCACACAGTGGGAATGGTGGCATATAGGGAAATGCGTCCATGGCTGGCAGGAAAGGGGTAGAGTTGGCAGAAGTGCTGTAAAATAACTGAGTGGTAGCATGCCTCTGTAACTCTCTTACCCAGATTTTGCCTGATGAAATTAAACCAGTTAAACTTATTTTTGGGTCCCCCTTCGTTTCTCCACATGCACCACCCTCTGTGGGTTACACAATATGTTAAACATTGTCCCCTGATGACTTCTATTTTGTCATATCTCCTTACCTGGAAGTAAGAAGTGGTTTATCTTCCAAGAGATTTCCAAGGGCCTTTGGTGCAACCTCCCATTACAATTTCTTGAGGGCTCAGAGTCCATGCCAGAAGCATTATTTTCCCTATTTCATAGATGAGGAAGTTGATGATCAGAGAGATGAGTCAGTTACACACAGCTGGGGAGTAGCTGGGATTTGAATCATGGCTGTTTGGCTCCAAGACTGTGTGGTTTCCTCTGTGCCACCTGAGACCAGGATGGACTTTGTCATTCTGCCCAGTTTCAGGGATGTTCACCGTCCTGCAGCTGAGCATTTAACATGCTTCTTCTCCTGGTGGCCTTGTCTGGTGGTCCTGGTGGTCCTGTGGTTTTGCCTCTTAGGTAGGAGGAGGAGCCTGAGAAGAACCTGAGCAAAAGGGAAGGGGGTCCAAGGACAAGGACACCCAGGCAGAAGAATTTGTCAAGGACAGGCTGGGAATTGAGCACAGAACGTGTATGAATTCAAATGTATCACTCAGCTAGGATCTGGCTTACTTACGGTGAACAAGCTGGGTAGCATCCTCGTGGCTGTCAGAGCCTATAGTGTACAGGGGAGGATGGACCAGAACAGAGACACACATGTTTAAAGAGAAGTAGACAGGGGCACCTGGGTGGCTCAGTCAATTAAGCGTCCCAACTTCGGCTCAGGTCATGATCTCATGGTTCGTGGGCTTGAGCCCCTCATTGGGCTCTGTGTTGACAACTTGGAGCCTGGAGCCTGCTTCGGATTCTGTTTCTCCCTCTCTCTCTGCCCCTTCCCAGTTCACACTCTGCCTCTCTCTCTCTCTCTCAAAAAACAAATAAACATTAAAAAAAGAAGAGAAGTAGACAGGACTGCATTAGGGCCTAGCAGGCTGTGTTAGATGTGTGTTAGATGTGATTCTGATCCCAGAGGAGTAGAAAGCTATGAAATGTGTGTTGAAAAGTAATTTATTTTGGGGGTGCCTGGGTGACTCTGTCAGTTAAGCTTCCAACTTCAGCTCAGGTCTTGTCTCATGGTTCATGAGTTCGAGCCCCACACCAGACTTATATTGATAATGCAGAGCCTGCTTGGAATTCTCTCTCTCTGCCAAAAAGAAAAAAAAAAGTATTTTTATACAGTGAACACATATCATCTTACCAAAATAGTCTTGTAGAGAAGTACAGCAATGAGAATAAAATCACCCCAAATCTTCCTATGTAGAAATGTTCATTCTTGGCACTAGGTGACAGTATTTCATAGACCATATATACGTTGGCTTGAACAGATAAAAGTTTCTTTTCCTTATGTAGTAGAGTCCCTGTTTGGTGTGTTCCCTGTTGGACATGCTTGTTCAGAAGCCAGTTTATCTGTTTTGTCTGCCGTCCTTTGGAGCAGCATGTCCAAATGCTCATCTCCAGCCCCGTCTCTATGCTCCGCGTCATAAACACATCTGTCCTCAGACTTGTGAGACAGAGAAAGAGCAGAGGAGGTAAATCCTGGCCTTGAAGAAGCCCGAATCACTGCCTCTCCCGTTCCAATGGTGAGTTCAGCTACATGGCCATACCTAGTACCTTTAGTTTCTTCGTGGTTGCTCCAGGACTTACCAGGTACATCTTAACTTATCAGAATCTCCTTCTGGTTTATACTAACAATTCCAGGGGCATGTAGAATTGTTGCTTCTACATGGCTTTATTTTCTCTTCCTCTCTTTGTGCTAATGTTACACAGTTCCATCTCTGTATGTTCCAAGTAAAACAATACATTTTCATAATTCTTACTTTATATAATTAATTATGTCTATTATGAAAATTGAGAAAAAAATGAGAACAAGAATGAATATAGAGTTTGTTGTATTTACTTTCTTATTTACCATTTGTCTTCATTTGTTCCTGTACATTCCATTAGCCACCTGCTGTCATTTTCTGACTCCCAACAGCACTTTGCATTCACTCACCTCCTCTGTGCTGTCTTTTTCACATATAAAATATTCCTATCTGTGATACTGTGATTTATAATGAATACATATTTGGTTCTCATCCCCATTTCTGGCACAGAGCTCCTGAATCCCTTGGAATTTCCTATGTGAGGAAAGCAACAAAGATTGCTCTACTGTTTTGATAATACCCTAGGGTATAAATAGCTCAGCAGTCTGATCCAATTAAACTTGGGCTGTGGTATTTTTAAAGCATTGTTAGAGGTTTGTTCTGACTCCAGCAGGGTGACTCCCTGCCCTCTCAGCCACACTCACCAGGACTTTTGCCTCTTTGCCTTGGAGTTGGAAGGAATGGTAACTACCCGTGGCCTAACCTCCTGGTGAGATGTGGTAAGCTTTCACTGGGAGCCAAGGAGAAAGGCCCCTTCTTCCTGTCCCCACCGAACCCAAGTACAGCATCTGTCAGGCTGAGCTGTGGGTAGAGATGGAGTGGGTCATGGCTCAAATGCCCTACATTCTCAGTGTTCATACCAAATTTTAGTAGATTTTCTTGGATAAGAAAACTGCTTCTTGATTTGCAGTTTGCCCTTAGGATAATTTCCGGAGACTAAATCATTGTTAGTTTGGTTTTTTGTTGTTGTCATTTTTGTTTTTTGTTTTTTTGTTTTTGTTTTTAATTTAAATCCAGGGTGGTTAACATACAGTGTGGTCTTGGCTTCAGGAATAGAACCCAGTGATTCATCTCTTACATATGACACCCAGTGCACATCCCAAAAAGTGCCCTCCCTAATGCCCTTCACCCATTTAATCCATCCCCCTACCCACCTCCCCTACAGCAACCCTGTTTGTTCTCTATATTTAAGAGATTTTTATGGTTTGCCTCCTTCTCTGTTATTATCTTATTTTTCTATCCCTTCCCCTGTGTTCATCTGTTTTTATAATTCTTACCATCTTTGTTTTGCTGTAACATGGATCCAGTGAGTTCTTTACACTGTCATCCTGGAAATGCAATTTCCTAGCTTTCAGTTTTGAAGACTGTTTTTGCTAGATGCTGAAATCTGTGTTGCCATTTATTTTCTTCAGCCCATTAACAACACCCTTTTGTCTACTGCCTTCCACTTCTACAGTTGAACAGTCAGCCTGCAGTCTTATTTTGCTTTTAAGTTGATAAGTCTTTTTCTTCTTGCTGCTCTAAATATTTTCTTCCTTTAGTTTTTAGCACTTTGATTATGTTATACCCAGGTGTGGGGTCTTTTTGCATTTATATTGCTTATGATTCTTCAAGCTTTTTGCGATGATTTGTAGATTTTTGTCAGTTGTGGAAAGTTGTAAGCTAATATTTATTTTTTTTAAGTTTTTATTTTAATTCCAGTTGGCTAGCATACAGTGTGATATGAGGTTCAGGTGTACAATAGAATGATTCAACAATTCCATACATCACCCACTGTTCATCAGAACGAGTGCACTCCTTCATCCCCATCACCTATTTAGCCCATCCCCATACCCACCTCCCCACTGGAAACCATCAGTTTGTTCTCTATAATTAAGAGTCTGTTTCTTAATTTGCCTCTCTCTCGTTTGTTTTTCTTTGCTCATTTGTTTTGTTTCTTAAATTGCACATATGAGGGGCACCTGGGTGGCTCAGTTGGCTAAGCATCCGACTTCAGCTCAGGTCATGATCTCACAGTTCGTGGGTTTGAGCCCCGCATTGGGCTCCGTGCTGATGGCTCAGAGCCTGGAGCCCGCTTCGGATTCTGTCTCCCTCTCTCTCTGCCCCTCCCCCGCTCATGCTCTGTGTATCTTTCCTTCAAAAATAAATGTTAAAATTAAAAATAAAATAAAATAAAATAAATTGCACATATGAGTGAAATCATATGGTATTTTTTTCTCTAACTTATTTCACCTAGAATAATACTCTCTAGCTCTATCCATGTCGTTACAAATGGCAAGATTTCATTCTTTTCTATGGCTGAATAATATTCCATTGCCCATATATACACCATGTGTATCCATTCATCAATGGATGGACACTCGGGCTGCTTTCGTATCTTGGCTATTGTAAATAATGCTCCTGTAAACATAGGGGTGCATGAATCCCTTTGAATTAGTGTTTTTGTATTCTTTGGGAAAATTCCCAGTAGTGCAATTGCTAGGTCATATGGTAGTTCTATTTTTAACTTTCTGAGAAACCTTCATACTGTTTTCCAGGGCAGCTGCAACAGCTTACATTCCCACCAGCAGTGCACAAACGTTCCTTTTTCTCCATATCCTTGCCAGCATCTATTATTTCTTGGGTTGTTGATTTTAGCCATTCTGATAGGTGTGAGGAAGCCAGTATTTCTTTTGTCCTGTTCCTTTTCTCCTCTGTTTCTGGGATTGTAACTATACATATATTACACTGCTCTACCATATCACACCTGTTTCTTATGCTCTTTTCTATATTCCCTGTCCTTTTTTCCCCCTCTGTGTTTCAATCTGAAACTTAAGAATACTTTTACTTGTGTACCTTCCAGTTAAGTAATCCTCTGTTCTATTATGTCCTGTCTGCTAACAAACTCTCTATTGAACTCTTAATTTCAGTTTCCGTTTGATTTCTGGTCACATTCTGTATCTCTTTATGTTCTTATATATACTAATCAGTTTTGCTTTTGATATTGGTTCATGACAGTATCTGAATCACCTGTGGGTTTGTTTCTATTGTGTATATTTTTCTCTTGGTTTCTTGTCATTATTCTTTTTCTTAACATACTTTCTGATATTTAATTGAGAGTCAATATTATAGATAAAACATTATAGAGTCTCCATTTGATGTCATACTCTTGAAAGAGGATTAAGTCTCCTTTTGGCAGAAAGATAACATGACATTGAATCACCATGTCTTGTCAAGGGGTTGGTCTTAGGCTTTGTTAGAGCTGTTAGAGTTAGACTTTGTTAGAGTAATTTCCTACTCATTGGTCACCTTTGAGGAATGCTAGGGAGTTGATTCATTATTCTGAAAACTGGTGAATAAAAATATCAAGTGTTTATTCTGCCTTTATAAGATGTATTATACCTCAGGATAACTGAACAATTGGTGAGTAGAAATTTTCTCTTCATAGAGCTTCCAGCTTTAAAAAAAATAAAAGAAAAATAAAAGAATGACAGAATTAGAAATCACTATTTCAAAATTCCAAATTTAAAAATGAATATGGGGGCGCCTGGGCGGCTCAGTCGGTTAGGCAGCCGACTTTGGCTCACGTCATGATATCGCGGTCTGTGAGTTCGAGCCCCGCGTCGGGCTCTGTGCTGACAGCTCAGAGCCCGGAACCTGTTTCAGATTCTGTGTCTCCCCCTCTCTCTCTCTGACCCTCCCTCATTCATGCTCTGTCTCTCTCTGTCTCAAAAACAAATAAACGTTAAAAAAATTTTTTTTAATAAAAATGAATATAAATAATGATCACTAATGGCTGCTAACATTGCAAAAAAGAGAAGCAACCAACCAGACATTTTGCACCTCCTGATGGAAAAAGTCTACCACTTATAAAGAGTTGTTTTTAGTTTAGTTTTGGTTTTTTTTTTTAAAGACCTGAATCCTGAGATATCAACTAAAAGGTGTAAATACAGAAACAGCTAATAGTGACACATCCTTCCTCTAACTTTGTACAAAGAATACCCAACAGTAAGGCATCGTCTATCTAAGGCAAAAATTAGGGGATTGCCTCAAAAAACCAACCATAGAAGAAAGACTTCTAAATTTTGACATTTGGGGATGCCCTGGCCTTATAACTACCACCTTACTCAAATGTGCCTCCACTTGACAAGTACCATTCATACACAGAGTTCCCAAGCATCTTTTTATTGTCTCATGTTAAAATACAAATAGGCAACCAAGGATCACTAGATTCCTGAGGGAAAATGGCAGCCTGAATCAGCATGAGATGTTGCTTCTTGACCCACAGATCATTCTATTCTGTGGTTTGTTTGTTTGTTTGTTTGTTTTTGAAAGGGAGAGAGTGCACACAATTCAGGGAGGGACAGAGAGAGAGAAAATCCCAAGCAGGCTCCACACTGTGAGCACAGAGCCCAAAGTGGGGCTGAATCCCACAAACCGTGAGATCGTGACCTGAGCCAAAATCAAGAGTCGAACACTTAACCAACTGAGCCACCCAGGCACCCCTCTTCTGTGGTTTCTCATTTTGTTCACATTCTTCATTGTTTCCTACCCAGTGAAATAATACCTCTTGACTGGGATCTTTTTAGACTCCACTCCTAAGATGTTGAGGACTCTTGACACTTCAGATACTCCTGATAGAAGCCACAGGAATTCTGGGTGTTTACATCCAGAGTCTGCCCCTTCAGACTGCTCATAAGTTTCTAGAATAAATTTTTGTTTGTTTTTAGCTTCCATACTTAAGTAAATCCCTTTGAAGTACTGTGAGTAGTTCACTGAAGTCTGTTAAAAGGACTTAGCCCAATGCTAGACACCATCTAATCAACGTTTTCAGCTCTGTTTCCTTGTCTGGCCAAACAGTCTGCAAGTAACAGCCTGTTACAGCTCTATAAGAACTAGGTTACAAAAGAGGTTCAATTATGCTTTCATGGCATCCCACAACAGGGCTCCCCTCTCAGTGTTCTGACCTGGGTTATCCTTCCAACAGTCATTGTGTCCACATGATTCAGTGGTTTAGTGTGAAATTTTTGTTTTGTCTTTAGTAAATTTCCTTTCATTGAATTTCAGAATTCGGTTATATCACAATTTTTACCAATACTCAGGTACTTTTGTACATTGGGAATGTGTGGTATGGACTGTTGCACACATTTAGCTTTTCTGCCTTGTACTGTGCCTGCTGTTTGGATGAGTATCTGTTTTTGCATCTTTTCTTTGTATCTATTTTTCTCTATTTACCCTAATTTGCTTCTATAAAGCCAATTTGTCCATATCAAATAATTTTTCCATTATCTATTACTCTGTATACCCTTTATTCATTACAAGCCATTTATCATTCATTTATTTTTAAACAAATATTTGAATATCTATTATAGAAAGCTATAAGCAGCTATAAGAAGATACCTTGTTTGCAAAGTATGCAGCAATGACATGATCAGCAGAGGTGGTGACCTTCCGAGCCTCCTCTCCTGTTACCCTCATCACCTTTCTGAGCGCCCTCAAGTCATGCCTCACTGTTTCTGCTCCATCTGTGCCTAGTTGGCCCATCTGCAGATGTAACACTTTGACCTTGGGCTTCTCCTTACTTCCTCCCCACACCAGCTTTTGTTGCTTTGATAGAATGCTTCTGTCCCCTCTTTCCTCATCCCAGTGAGGTCATTTTTTGCTTTTGCATTCTGAAAATCCAGTATCCTCCTAGGAGATACTTGTTTCATATAAATGTTCCTATTTATGCTCTAATTCTTTTTCCCATAGTAGAATACACATAACTCATTTTTCTTCATTCTTTCAGGTTTTGAGTCTCTAATGGAAAAAAAGGAATTAACTCCAAAACAGGAAATTTCCAAAGCAGTGGAGTCCCAGAGAGCAAAACCAGAAGAACATGCAAGAAATATATCCAAGGAATCTGATTTTGAAGAAATGTGTAAAACTGAGGGAAAGATAAAGAATTACTGGGGACAATCTACAGTGGAAAGACTTAAGAAATCCTTCTCCCAGAAGAACAATTCCAGACCGGTGACATTGACACGTGTGAAAACCCCTAGGGGGGAAGGCCAGATATCCGGTTCCACGGAGGTAAACTGCACTGCAGACCCAAACCCTGTCGGATTTCATCGAGGGTCTAGAGGGGAGAGTCTCCACCAGAATGTGCCACATGTAGATGACTTTCAACAAACTCAGGACCTCATTAATCTCCCATGTTTCCATCTAGGAGAAAGATCATGTCAGACAGATGTGTTTGTGAAAGTGGCCAGGCAGAGTTCAGTTCCTGGTGAGAGTCAGAGGGTTAACAGGCCAAAGAAATCCTTTGAGTGTACTGAGTGTGGAAAACCTTTCAGCCCGAGTAGAGCTCTTTCTCAACATGGGAGTAATCACACCAGAGAGAAGCCCTTTGAGTGTGGTGGATGTGGAAAAACTTCCTGCCACTGCTGTGTCTTCAACCAACATCAGAGAGTTCACTGTGGAGAGAAGCCCCACACCTATGCTGAGTGCGACAAAGCTTCCAGGGCTCATGCCTACTTCATTCAGAACCATAACATTCACACTGGAGAAAGACTTTATGAGTGCAGTGAATGTGGAAAAGCTTTCAGTACGTGTTCATCTTATAGTCAACATCTTAAGATTCATACTGGGCAGAAACCTCATGAGTGTAATCAGTGTGGGAAAGCCTTCAGTCATAGCTCTAACCTGATTCATCATCAGAGAACTCATAGCGGAGAGAAACCTTACACGTGTAAGGAATGTGGGAAGGCTTTTAGTAGACAGTCACACCTCCTTCAGCATGAGAGAACTCATTCTGGAGAGAAACCTTATGACTGTACTGAGTGTGGCAAAGCCTTCAGTGCACGATTATCTCTCATTCAACATCAGAGAATTCACACAGGAGAAAAACCCTATGAATGCAATGAATGCGGGAAATCCTTTAGCCTGAACCGAACCCTTATCGTTCATCAGAGAATTCATACTGGAGAGAAACCCTATAGGTGTAATGAATGTGGGAAATCCTTCAGTCAACATTCCCAAGTCATTCAGCACAAGAGAATTCACACTGGTGAGAAGCCTTATATATGCAATGAGTGTGGAAAATCATTCAGCGCTCGCCTGTCCCTTGTCCAGCATCAGAGAATTCACACTGGAGAAAAACCTTATGGATGCAATGAGTGTGGGAAGACATTCAGTCAAAAGGGACATCTGATTCAGCATCAGCGAATTCACACTGGAGAAAAACCCTATGAGTGTAATGAGTGTGGAAAAGCCTTCAGCCAGAGTTTTAATCTCATTCATCATCAAAGGACACACAATGGTGAGAAGCCCTATGAATGTAATGAGTGTGATAAAGCCTTCAGTGTGCTCTCTTCCCTTGTTCAACATCAGAGAGTCCATAATGGTGAAAAGCCCTATGAGTGTCACAAATGTGGGAAGGCTTTTAGCCAGGGCTCACACCTCATTCAGCATCAGAGGAGCCACACTGGGGAGAAACCCTATGAGTGTAACGAGTGTGGGAAAACCTTTGGGCAGATATCCACCCTAATTAAACATGAGAGAACACACAATGGAGAGAAGCCCTATGAGTGTGGAGACTGTGGAAAAGCCTTCAGCCAGAGTGCACACCTTGTCCGCCATCGAAGGATTCACACTGGAGAGAATCCCTATGAGTGCAGTGACTGCGGGAAGGCCTTCAACGTCCGCTCCTCTCTCATCCAGCATCACAGAATTCATACAGGAGAGAAGCCTTATGAATGTGAGAAGTGTGGCAAGGCCTTCAGTCAGCATTCACAATTTATTCAGCATCAGAGGATTCACACTGGAGAGAAGCCCTATATGTGCAATGAATGTGAGAAAGCCTTCAGTGCACGCTTGTCCCTTATCCAACACAAGAGAATTCACACAGGAGAGAAACCCTACAAATGCACTGAATGTGGAAAATCCTTCCGACAAAGCTCTCACCTCATTCGTCATCAGAGAGTTCACAGTGGAAAACGACCTTATACATGTAATGAATGTGGGAAAACTTTTAGTCAGAAAATAACTCTTACTGGTCATGAGAAAATTCACACTGGAGAGCAAGCCTATAAGTGTATTAATTGTGGGGCCCTCTTTAGTGCACAGGCAGCTTTCATTCAGCATCGTAAAGTCCACAATGGAGAATAACTCCCCTTTATTCGATAGTCTTCCCTGTTTTACATCAGAAGCAATATACTGATGGGAAAGCTGTCACTTTTACAGCTTTCATTTTGGAGATTCATCTCTCCAGTGATTTAAGATCTCCCAGTGTGCTGTTAACTAAAGGTAGGCTGCAAAATTATGTGCTAAAAATTCCAAGGTCACATGCCTTCCCTCAGATTCAGAGGGTGGCCCTGTGCTTCAGTACTTTAAACAAGCATGGCTTGGGGCGCCTGGGTGGCGCAGTCGGTTAAGCGTCCGACTTCAGCCAGGTCACGATCTCGCGGTCCGTGAGTTCGAGCCCCGTGTCGGGCTCTGGGCTGACGGCTCAGAGCCTGGAGCCTGTTTCCGATTCTGTGTCTCCCTCTCTCTCTGCCCCTCCCCCGTTCATGCTCTGTCTCTCTCTGTCCCAAAAATAAATAAACGTTGAAAAAAAAATAAAAAATAAACAATCATGGCTTAAATATACTTATTTAAAATCATGTTTTCATAGCACCAGATCTTAAGGTGCAGTGAGGTATTTTATGTGGTCACTTGCTTTTCTTTCCTTGTACTCATCTATTTCAGGTTCAAGAAAAGTTCACTGGAATCCTTGCACTTTCAATCATGATAGAGCCAGGTTGGGATTTCTTTGTTAGGGCCTCTTCAAAATGTTTTCGTTCTATTGTGAGGAATATCCCTTTAACTTCAAAAATGTTATCCCTTTTCAGCATCAGGTAATTCAGACAGGAGAGAAACCTTATGAGCTTGAGCAAAGTTTGTTAAGGAACGACATGAGGCCTATGTGTAGATTGAAACTTGTAAGATCCTGCTAAGAAGTCGAATGACACAAGTAAAATGGGTTTTTCTACAAGGTAATTGGGAAAGACAAAATCCTGTGAATTGGGAGGAAAGCAGCCATAAAGTAGACACACAGTGGTATATGGGATATGACTTAACAGGTTTTGTTCTCAAAACCAAGGTTGGTGTATTCTGTATCAGTTTCTCAGGGGGAGAAGGTGAGTGGTCATAACTGTGTTCTGGGCAGCCTGGCACTGAGCAGACTCTGGTGAGGAGTGGCAGGTCCTTCTGCTGCCAGAGGACAGGATTCCAGGTGAGGTAGGTAAGTAGATAATTGTGCAGGTTGTTTGTCAGCCTGGGAACTCTTGTGTGCATGTTTTAGAGCTGCCTTTTGTCCTCCAGAGTGATGTTGGTCAGCAAGGTCTCAGTGTCCTTTGGTTCTTGATATTTGAGATGACAAATATCCTAGGAGCTCTGTTTTCCTAAAGCCAGTTTCCAGAGTTGCCACCCTTGCCTGTGGTGCTTCTGGCCCAGGTTCCCTTATGAGTGGTTCACTTCAGTATCCTCAGAACCCTGTTCTCCAGAAACTTCTTTAGCACTTTTTCCTACTTTGTGGAGGAAAGATTAACATCAAAATGGTCTGAAACAGGCTATAAATAAATAGAAATTCAGCAACAGCAGTCTGTGAGAAACAGTTGTAGAAGCTGAAATCTGACAACTGAAAGTAGCTTAGAGTCTTTGATGAACAATTTGAATGCCATATGAACAAACACTTGAGAGGAGATTGACCAGTTAATATTTGGGATAAGCTATAATGGAATGGTGCTTTGTATATAAGAATCAGGGTAAGAAAGAATAAGTGAGAGCAATTGGCCATTTTATTCCTTTATGGTGTCATTTTCACTAATAAAATTATTCCAGTTTTCCCATGTATTAAAGGAGCTTTCTTAGAATTTGGCTCCATTCTTTTTTCTTACATTGACTTGACCTGTACTTCAGATTTTATTTTCCAGGCTGTTGTCCATATGGTAGTGGCAGTGGTCTTTACTTCTCTTAGAATGTTGAAAAGCTGATTAGAAAAATCTGCCTCTTGATGATAATCCTCCTAAGCATACTTCACCGCAAATAGCTTTGACTTAAAAAATGAAAATGGGAGTGAATTTACTGTGATAATAATGGTTGTATGCTGAATGAAAATTGTGATTCAGTCAATAAACCTTTACTTTTTTACCTTAGCACGTGCCAGGCATTGTGATTAATGCTTTGCATGGGTTTTCTCATTTAGCCCTCACATCAATTCAGTGACGTAGGTACTTTTATTTACCCTGTTTCACAGTGAGACCTGAGGCACAGTCTGCTCAGTGGTAGTGCTCTCTGTGTGGCTCCACCACCCAGGCTCTTGATACCTCCTGAGTCCTGCAGGCTAGCACCTGCTGCACCCCAGCACCCCAATAATGAAGGCAGTGCTGGTAGGAAGCTTGCAGCCCCAAGGCTGGCCCATCTGCTGATTCCAAATGGTACATCTTACTTAAATGTGGTTTGGTAGATGGGTCTTTAGGTGTTTGATCAATGACGGAAAATGAGAAACAGTTCAAAGGTAGGAGCCTCTGGCTTATGACTTCACTAACCATTGCCCGACAGGCATGTTCCACATAAGAAAGAGAATGTCTGTCTTTTCCTGAGGTGGTTGGAAACTTTAGTCTCTGGAAGTTGTGTCAGAAGCTCCTTCTGGCTCTCCTGGTTTCTCAGTCTGAGATAGGGCCTTGGAGCTTTTTATTCAGTTACAACTTTTGCTTCTAGAGAAGGGCGCTTTAGGAAGGAAGACAAATTAACTGTTTTTGTTCCAAGGGTCTCCCATCCTTTCAAGAGACAGAAAGACTAAGAAGCCATGACAGTGTCTTCCTCAAGATTGCATGCGATCTTAGAATGCCAAATCCAGAAGAAATATTTTTTTCCTTTTCAAATCCATCTTTATATACAGTGCAGATGTTTACTTAATTAAGAATTCCAGCCTTTATTTTAATCCTCTGTTTAAGTAACTATGGCTAAGACATCCCTTCTAATTCCTGTGATGAATTTTTAATTGTCTTAGTTTTCAGTTAAGTATTTCACCCAAGTTGTATTAGATCTTATTTACATAGTCGTTCATATGCTCCATTCCAGTCATAAATTTCTCTCTTACCTAATTTTTTACTTAGCGTGATGATGACATCAATATTGGCTGGGAGGCAGACTGTCTTCTGATGATGCAGACCCGCTCTGTGCTACACTTGTTGCTTACCACAGAGCAGTCATCCCTTGGGACCCTAGCTTCTAAACCAAGTAAATTAATTACAATTGAGAAGAGAAGGACATTTCACTTTCTCCAGTTGATGAAAAGAAGCTTTCTGGAAGAGATACTCATTCTGTAGTGGCTGGAGCCTACTTCCCTCAAGGAGCATCACCCAGGCTTGAGAAATGCATTGGTGGGGGAGCACCAACGTCCTGGGAAGGTGATACAGTGGCTCATTTCTATAGGCTAGGAATGACAGTAGGAGGGCTGTCATGAAAATGGGTTCCATAACTCAGTGGGGATTGTTGAATACCAGACAGGAGCTCATAACCTTTTCAGTGGAAGTGTGTCACCTTAACAGGCCCAGGGCCAGAGCAGTAATCAGAACAGTTAGAACATAGATGTTTTGGCCCTGGATAATGGTGATGGTGTCTCTGAGACAGAAATAGACGGCCCACTAAAGTTTCTATCAGTGTAAGTGAAAAAACCATATATTTGGTGAAGAGACACCTGAACCTCTTGAAAGAAGAAAAGGCCAGGTTCCCTTGAGGAAAGACCCTAATGCTCTCCCCCAATTTTATACTATACCTTATTTCCTTCCCAAAAGGGAATGTGGCCAATTATGGAGTAACCATGTTGAAAGACAGGAAATACCCACCCTTATGAGAGATGAGAAAGTAAGAATTAGCTTGGACTGAGGAAGAAAACAATCTATTAAACTGCTGGAATTGCAGACGAGGATAAAGCCAGCTTCAAAGTTAATAGGAGACAATACTTTCCCAAAAACGATATGTACCTTTAAAATGTCATGACATTTTACCTCTGTTTTCTTACTGAAGAACTTTGTTCTCTAATGTCACAGAAAACAGGGATGTGTGATAAATTATCAAGAATGAAACACCCACTCTTTCCTGACAGATCTAAGTCACTGACACAGAGAAGCAGCCTTGATTTACAACTGGAACCAGATAAGGAGTTTAGGACCCCATATTCCACATCTATATTTTGTGGTTTCCAGGGAAATAGGAGACTGGGTCCACTTCACAGTCCAGAACCAATGTTGACCCACTACCCACAGCCTAGTTTTGCTTGCTGCCCGTCCAAGCACTGCTTCAGACAGATTTCACCTAAACACCCTTCCCTGAAGTCCTGTAACAACTCCATTTTCCTTTGGTGAGACACCCCACAGATCTCATTTGTCACACTTGTGGTAATAGCTCCATGACCCTGGTAGGGTTGTTGTTCCTGGTAGTCTGAGGCTGATCAGGCAAGGGGAGGGGATACTGGACTCTGGCTCTGAACTGATGTTGGTTCAAGATATTGCTGTTGTTCACCAGAGTAGGAGTTCATGGAGTCAAGTGGCAAATGGATTTTTAACTCAGGATAATTTATTTCACAGTAAGATCCCTGGGGCCCAGAACTCACCCCATAGTATTTACCCAGATCCTGAATGCATAGGTAGAGGAGACATATTGCACTTGGCAGAATCCCCACATGAGTTCTCAGGGTGTTACGATAGGAATCTTTGGATTAAACAGGCCTGGAGGTGAGCCCAGCTCCCCACTTGTAGGCTGGATTACTCTGGGCAAACTAACCTTTCTGAGTGTTTGCTTATCTGCAAAATGGGAAAAGAAATAAAAACCCATGTGGGGCTATTTGGGGGTTAGGATTAGGTAGAACCAAATATGCAGAGTGACCAATGTGCTACTCAGAACACAGTGGGCACACAGCAGAGCCAGCTCTCTTTCCTGCCACTCTGGTCAGGGCAGCAAGAACAGTAGAAAGAGCACACTGCCTTTGGAGAGGGTTAGCTTGAGTCTTGGCTCCACATCATTGGGCTGTTTTTCATTGTAAAAGAGGGCATAATATAACTCCTATTGGAGAGAGATTTTTGTGTAATAACTCCTATAATGGAATGTGGTGTTTTCCCAAATACTACCACTCTCTTCCTTTCTTAAAAAGAGAACTAGTGTGGTTGATCATGGATTCATTTAATCAACAAATGTATATGATAAGTACTTATTCTGGGTATGGTTCTAGATGCTGGGGATACAGCAATAGATAAAATCCCTGCCCTCATGGAGCATACATTCTAGCAAGGAGAGAAAGATGATAAGCAAAGAAATTATATGGTGGTGGTGAATGCTCTGAAGAAAAACAGGGAGT